AGCCACGCCGGGCTTTGGAGGCACCGAGCATCTCTGTGCGCTGGTATCCAAACTCACCTGCTGCTCCGTTACAGCTTTCCCTGCAACGCCTGCTGCTGCTGGAGAACAGACTCGCATCACTTCGGTTTTGAAGGACTCCAGCTGCAGCAGAGATTGACACAGGATAAAAAAAAAATCACAGAGAATCGATATCAGCTCTGCGGGGCTGCTCTACCCAACCCCGCGCACACCAATGCAAAGGGCATCCCGGCGCCTGCCATCTCCGACACCGAGGCCCCGCGCACGCTCCTGCCCTCCCCTCAGGACATGGCGTTAGCTCACGCACCTTTTTCACCGTGCAACTTTGTCAAGGGTTCCCTGGCACCCCTCCTTTGACCCTGACAGCTCGCACCCCGTTGGCAGCGAGGCACTGCGGTTAATCACATCCATTACTTTGCCTACAAGGTGCAAGGTGTCATCACCAGTACAACGCACAGGGGAGGCTGTCGGCTCCCTGCCACCAAGGACAACGTGACTCCTAAACACCTTCTGCTGCCAGAACAAATTGCAAAGGACGGACCAGCCGAGCTAGGCAGCTTCTCCATCCCACGCTCCAGCAGGGATTTCCGATGGCTGACTCCTATTCCCTGCTGCGAAACAGTCGGGGCAGGCTGGGGACAGCAGGGGATGCCACCTCCAGCCTCTCTGCAGGAGATGACAGCCATTTCCACTGAGGTTAGCGCTTCATGCTTCTGTATCGCAGCTGGTGCTGGCTCCTCCTGGGGCTTCAATGCATGGCTGTCCCTGTGCTAACCTACGCGGCAGCACGCAGACCCCAAAGTCTCCAGCTGCCCTTAAAAGCTTGAGGTTGCCCTTTGGCTCCACTCTGCACAAAACCTGGGGTTATTTGCCAAACATGCAATCAGACAGCTCACAGCTTTTTCTGCCTCTCATTGGCTGAGTGTGCTAACAAATTCACGCTAGCAAAACTCTGCTTTGGGGTTTAAGGGGGTAGCACGACCTTCCTGTGTGAAGCACGGCTTTATCCTGCTGATCTAGCACATTGTTATTCTGCAAAGGGCTGCCTCTGTCTGGAGCAGCATTACCTAGGCACAGAGGAGGTTTTGCACGGGTCCCGGACAGCATGACTACGATTATAGAGAGTATAGTGCATTTCTGTATCCTATTAAACGTGCTGCATCTTCTACGATGCCTACACAAATCCTGTGGATAAGCCTATTATACTGCACCCAACAACAAGTTAAGCCCCGTGCCAGGGTTTGGTGCTCAGGACTCCGCATTTCCTTTCTTGCACTCAAGCACGACGTCCTTCCCCATGGGAAAACCCGCCCTGCTGCTGCCTACAGCCCAGACTGCAGGATGCTCCCATCCCTGCCGCCTCCCTACCTGCTCCTTGGCCCGCCCCAGGTCGGCTCTCAGCAGGCGCTCCCTGCGCCCCATCTCCTGCAGCTGCAGCGCTTGCCTGGCACAGGCTTCTTTCAGCTCCTCCTCAGCCTGCAATGACGAGAGCATTTACATATCAAAGCAATACCAGAAAAAACATGCCATAAGCACTTTTACCCCAACTATCCACTATTCACATCACTCCAAATATAGCTTTGAAATAGCAGGAGACAGGCAGCAATCCTTCTGCAGGGGGGTGGGTTTGCAGCATCGGGCACTTAATGCTGCTTTTCGCCTGGGTTTGGTCCCTGGGCCATCACCCATCCTTGACTTTCTAACACACCGCTCGCACAGGGCAGTCGCTGCTGCACAAATTACTTTCTTCCCTCGGGGTCCGTGGAAGAGCTCAGCACGTTTTGACCCTCTCCCTGTACAGCCTGCGTGCCTGGGGCTTGCTGGCCCTTGTCCCACGTGTCTGCCACCCGTGCCAGGTGGACGAGGTACCTGCCGTGCCCGTCCCTCCCTGCCCTCCGCCCACATACCCCACAGCCAGACGGTTACCTTGGCTTTCTCAGCCAGCTGGTTTCGGATGCTCTCCTGCTCGATGCAATACTTCTGGACTTCTCCCTGCAGCCCCTCCAGGTTGCGTTCCAGCTCCCCGATGCGCTGCAAGAGTCCCGGGACAGCGCAGGGTCTCACCAGAGGAGCTGGGCATTGCCCCTCTGGAGCATTTTAACTGCTAAGCAATATATTTTCCCCATCTATCCCATTTCATTTACCCTGGAATTTTCTCCTAACCTATATTTACTGTGGTTAGATTGGCTTTCAAGTGGAATGTCAATCTTACTAACCGTTCTCCTGCATTGTAATATGGTGTTACAATTTATACAGGAGTTTACATTTCTCCGGTTCTCTATGCACGTTAGGTGCCTTCTATTACAGAAGCTGGATTCAAAACAACTCCCTTAAAATGCCCAGTTAATTATTCTCTCGATGATGCATTCCCGCAGTCACTGCTCTCCCATGTGCTCCATCACCCCAAATGACTTGCGACTCACATTTCGGCACGCAATTACTTCTTGCTCTCCAAGTTCATGCTTCATTTCCTCTTTAATTCTAGAGCACTAGAATGAATGGCAACCAAGGAAAAAAATCATCAGGGCAGGCAGATACCATCATTTCTGCAGCAAATGTCAACACATACTTCAGTGCTGCAGCCCAGCTAAGCGCTCAGACACCTAATGGGTGGTGGAGTGCCCATGATGGGGCCATCAAGGCACTGAGAGCACGAGAGCATCCGCACCTGGAAATGCCTGCATTAACGCATTGCCTGGCTGAGAGAAGGAGAAACATCTGCAGGGAGTACCTGACAGAGAGAAATTCCTCTGGCTGTAGAAATAGTATAATAGGGATGGGGGAAAGGACCAAAGGAAACAAATGCTTCTTAAAAACATCCACGGTAACCTGACCAGGATGGTAACAGATATCTCCAGGCTAATCATCACTGTATCAGACTGGGCCTTTCAGTTCTGTATTTCAGGGTATCGGTGTTTCAGAGACCAACTCCGTTCTGCCAGCGCTCGGCTGCCTCTCCCGCGAGCCTGCGTGCACCAGCTCCCGCCTCCCTCCATGGTCTTCCCGCATCCACGTAGTGGGGAAAACCACAAAGGGATGCTCTGGGTCACGCTCTCTGCCTCGACATGAGTGCTGTGGGCCACCACGTGCCACCAGGCACCCAGCAGGATGCTTCCCTGGGATGCCTGGTCCCCCTCCCGCACACGGCAGCTCGAGTGCTCATACACATCCCCTTTCCACACGTGAAAGGCTGATCCACATCATTCATCTCCAGAGAGCTGCTTGGGGAGGATGCTCAGCCAGGTAAAGGCTGGCAGGTGCGGTGACCTCTGCCTGCACCCCCGGGGCCCCACGTATCTTTTCCATTACTTAAAAATTCACAGCGAATCACTGAAATCTCCTGGCAGAGTGCCTAGCCAGCCAGCCAAAACGCAGCGCCTGCCCTGCACTTACTATGCAGACGATGCAGCTCTGCTGGTTGAGGAGGGAGCTGCAAATATAAAGAAACAACTGCTGCACAGGCCACTTTCTTTAAGGGAAAAACCAGGCTGGGCTGCAGGGAGCCACATGAAGACGGGGTTTCCATGGCTCCTTGCGAGGATCTTGGCACGAGTGCTTTGTGCGTACAAACAGCTACTGTGCTCACAGAAATCCAGGGCACACAGTACCTGAATGCAGAACAAGGAGGGGGATTCAGCTGGGGAAGGCGACACCGCTCCATGGGCATTGCACGGCACCTAGACAAAACCGCAGCCCCACCGCTGCTACGTCCCAGCGGTACAGCTCTGCAACTTCTATTTGGGTGCAGCCAGGACCCTCGGGTTCCAGCTGCCCCGATAAACAGCCACACAAATAGCTGCTACGCTCCTTAACAGAGAGAAGCATGGCCCTTCTCATCCTAGTTTCCCACATTAATCCATATGTGAGACTGTAAATTGCTGAGCCCATCATGAGGGACGTTAACCTTGGCAGACACGACTGCTAGCTGATTGTCCTTTTCTCTGTTTTCCTTCTTTATTTTTTCAACATCTTGCTTGAGTTGCTGCATTTTCTGCTCCTTCCCGGCAATCTCCCTTTGCAGGCTGGTCACTAGACCTGAGAAAAACAACTCCAGTGAGAGGCTACCCAAGCGCATCCCTGCAAAAACCCTCTAGCCGCTGAGCGGCCATCCTCCCTCTTTGACAGCCGTTGGACTTGGAAGGCAGATTCAGCTTTTGGCACACCGTGCTGGACATTGCTCCATGACAGCACCGCTAACAAGTTCCTCAGGGCCCCGCAGCACATGCTCCCTGGAGGATGAGCAGCTCTTACGGATCCGTTTTTGCTGCGTTACTATGTCAGATCCACAGCTCTGATGCCTCCTCCCTGCCAAGCACCGATACTGCTCCCTTACCTCGGGCAATGAAATCAAGCAGAACGGTTTTGCTAATCTGAATGCATTACGAAAGCCAATATTTTGTGTACACACTACATTCCTCGTGCCTGATAAAGGCAGAGATAAAGGCCATTGGAAAAGGCTCGTGGTCCGAGGTGGCCTTTGCAGCCACGTGCAGCCCCGCAGCAGCTGGGGTGGGCAGGTCTCCCCCACGGGCGCACGGCAGCCCATTACGCAGCACCGCTTTCGAGCGGCTCGGAGCCTGCCCTGCAATCGGTGCTTGAGCCTTGTCTTCCGAACAAAGTTCTCGGTCCCATCGCTCCCTGCCTTCCGTCCCCACATTGTCCCTCACTCCGGGGGCACTCGTCATGTCAGTCACTGCCTGCAACTCCCACAGAGCTTCGGGACCCAGAATCAGAAGTAGGACGACTTCTACGAGCCACTACAATTCATTTGTTGCCTGGACAGTTTTGCCAGTGCTCACTCAGTATCAAGAGCCAGTCCCAAACTGCTTCGTGCCCCTAACCGGAGCTCCAGGGATACAATACCTGCGGCCAAAGCATGGTCCCTTTTCAACTTCTCGCTTTCTTTTCGCAGCCTTCCAATCTCCCGGTCTCTTTCATAGAGAGAATGGCTGAAAACCTGGCTCGAGCCTTTCTGCAGGTTGCTGATCTGCAAAACATGGATTCACCCACATTCCTCGCCAGATCACTTATTAATTTTATTACAGCCCCCTTCGGAGAGGGAAATCTAGCGCTTCCAGGTCACACTCTGACGGGGTTACTCTTTAGCATCTTGGACTCACTCTCAGCAGTCATTGCTTCGGATAGGATGACCTTAAATTCATTTTGGCTGCTCACACTCAAATCCTAATATAAAAGGCACGGAGAAGCACTGTCTCCCACTGCCTGCCATGCCGGGAATCCACGGCTGGGGCTGGGTGACACTGCTGATGTGGTAACAGGCAGAAGCGCCTGCAGATTTATCACCTTCTCAGGGCATACATATTTATTACCACAAACGCAGATCCAGAGCCTCTAATAACTCATGTTCACATTTCTGCTGCAAAGGCAGTTTTTACAGTCCCTGCTGGAAATAGGGAGCCTCCGCTATCCACTTCGGTGTATCGTCGCCACATAGACAACACGCAGACAGCACAAATACGCTTCCCACGGCTCAGATGACTGGTTTCACAAAGCAATTACTGGAGGGTATCGAAAAGTGAATCCACAGGTGGAAGAGACTTTTGTCAGAGAAAGGAAAGCTGCCGGGAAGACAGGCACACCACATCGTCTCATCTCAGCAACGATGCTGACAGCACCCCGAAATTATATTGCCTTTTCTCCACCTCTTCACAACAGACAGTCAGGACAAGCACAAAGCATTTCACAGCCTCCTTCAGACCCAGTATGATATGGGAGGGCAGGATGCAGCTGGGATGGGCTGGCAAAGTGCCTAGCTGCTGACCTGTGTGCCTAGCTGCTGACCGACGCCTTGGATTGACCCTTTTCCCGTGCTGGAGATACTCAGGAGGACCCCATCGCTGTCTCTCCGGGACATTTCCTAATGTCTCCTAAAATGCGGGTGCGTGCTATGAACATATTCCCGAACATGACAACTATAAGCCCTCTCTCCTCCACCCAGCCGCCTACTTTCACCAGGATGCCAAGGGGCTGCGCTGCCTTTGGGGTGGGTATTCCCCCTGCAGACACAACTGCCCAGACCCTTCCTGGGGCAAGAGGGGCCGGGGGGAGCAAGGGGTCCCACTCCCTGGCCTGAGGTGGTCACGCGTGCCTTTCTCCCACCAAAGGCTGCTTAGGCTTCTGTTTCCCTCCCCACTGCAGCATTACAGATCCTTCCACATACATGGGATATTTATTTACCAGCGTCCTTAAGGGGAAACTTGCACAGAAAGCAAGCAAACGTGCAAAACAAAACAACTGGAAGAAAAAAAAACCTCCCTCATTTCCCTGCTTTTCCTAAAAACTGGGTGTTAAACTAAAAGTACCTCTGTATCAGAGAGGTGTTTTCCCTGCGCGGTGCCTGTTGAAGCATTCAGTACCTGTTCCCTCAAGGCCTTGATCTCCTCTGTTTTGGCTCCCAGCTCTCGGTCGAAGGTGAGCAGCTTCTGGGTCAGCTCTACCTCGTTCCTCGCTGCCGCCTGAGCCAGGGTCTTTGCCATCGCTGCAATCTCATCCTGCAGATCTCTTATCACTGCATCTTTCTGCTGTGATTCTGTTTCTAAACCAGAAAGGCGGCCGATTTCCTTCTCCAGCCGCAGCAGCTTTTCACCCTGTGGGCAGATTACGGGTGCCGTCTGTCACTCTCTGGCTACGGAGACGCCGGGCTGCCTGCTCCAGGGGGTTCCGACTCACGGCCATTGACTGCACCGACCTGCTCGCCCTGGCCTCCCACGTCCCACCATGCCCATGTCCTCCGTCCACCCAGCAGTCCCCAACCATGGGAGCGGTCCCCTTTGGTGACAGTCCCTGCACCCTGCTGGGACTCACGGTCAGACACACAACCTTTTGGCAGGGTTTGCCTGCTCTGCCCAGGACCGGCACAGGGACGGTGTCCCTCACACCTTCCCCAGCATCACCTTCTCCTGCGGGAGGAAATCCGTGTCGTGAGTCCCCAGGGAAGGGGCTACCCCCACACCGCTCGCACCATCGCCCGAGATGCTGGTCGAGACTGGAAGAAAGCGAACACCACAGCAGCAAATGTCAGCATGAGAACTCATTGCAGGCAGCAGTAACGCTTCTTGCAGCATCCCTCTCGCTTGTCTCAAAACTATTCTAAGGCAGCGGCTGCTTTACAGTCCATGAACTGGGTCCACAACCAGAAGAGAAACCAACTATTTGGCACTAAAAAGACACCAGTGCAAACAGTCTGCACAACAGAGAGGAATAATACACCTCTGGGAACCAAAAAAGCCTCAAGGGCAGCAGAGACACAGCAGACAAAGGCTCCTCCGATTTTTCAGCATTGCCCAGCCCTACAGAAAGAAGCTATGCTTCTATGGCTTCCCGCGTGTGAATAGCTATGCTCAGTGCGATTAGCACGTGCTGATCCTTTCGGCTCTATTTCCCAAAAATCAGATGAGTACTAACTTGGAGCATGTGCTTCCCTCCCTTTACCTTCCCTGAAGTTTCAAATTCTGCCCATGCACACGTCTTTCAGTGATGCTGCTGGGACTGCCTGGTACTGCTCTGGAGCACCAGCTGTACTTTGGCACTTCACTATTGACTTTGTATTGCTTATGACTGCTCAAACAACCCAACCCCAAACCAGGAAAACAACCAGATTGTGTATCAGGCCATAACAAGCTACATTCATGGCAAAAGTCTCGTTCTCCAGCTGTAGTATTCCGCCAAAGCCTTGCCTCTGCTCCACTGCTATTGCATACTTTATTTTCAGAAGCGTAGCAGCTATGAACCTAGTTTAAAGTTCCAGCACTCAAGGGAGCCAATAACTGCGCTCCAAAGGAGGAAAACAACTCCAAACAGGAGATGGGAATAGGTGCATGAGTCACTGGTGCGGATAAAGTTAGTCATCGCCCTTCCTGATCACACACAAGGAAAAAGGAAGAGGAAATGTCACTCTCAGCTACGAGGGCAATGGCATTCCCCTTTGTACGTCACAGCCTACTTCTTAACTGACCCACATGCCACCAAGGACCACACACCGTCTCCGATTAGCTCCACTGCACAAGGACTCACACCCAATTGCTGCCGACGCTCGTCACTTCTCAAAACTGCCTCTGCTTGAATCAACTCCACTCAACGCTAAGTCGCTCAGAGAGGACACCGGGCTACGAACCACCAGGTTTGGCACCGGGGAGTACCTGGTCTCACCGCGGAGGTCCTACTGAAAGCCTCCGGCGGGACGGCGGTGGCCACGCTCCTAGCCCAGGCACTCACGGGTCGCTTCCGCAGCGGTGGATGGGGCATGTGGCCGGCTGCTCCGGGAGCCCAGCCACCGGGAGAGCCGGGGGGATGCTGCCACTGCAGCAAGGGGAGGTGGGGAGGAGATGCAGGAGTTGAAGGTTTGGGCTCTGCAACGAACTGGCGCTGCCCGGTCCATGCTGTGCGGCGTTTCACGGGGGGATAGGACATCTGCGGTGGAAAAAGACCACAATATCAGCAAGTTTTTAGGAAGGTTTTTAGCCCCGATGTGCACGCATTATGTCACACAAAACCCAGGCACGGATCTGAGTGGAAGCAGAATTTTAGTCCTTTCCTGTTTCCATTGCTCAAGTATCAGATTTAAATCAGGAATCCCAAATATTTTGCTGAAATCAAAAGAAATTATTGGGGTTTGCTGCTTTTTGAGCTCTTCCCCCTCTCTTTAGATTTGACTACCCTAATTCTGCATGTCATTTGCAAAATCTGGAAGCCCTCGTTTTGTGCCTCTCCTGGCTCACACGCAAGTGGTCCTACCCTGTCATTTCTCCCATTCACCACGTTGAACCAAAGCCTCTCACGGCACTCCTGGCTTGCCATCGCATTTATCAGACCTTATGCTGGGCCTGTCAGACGTGTAGTTAGGACACGATCTGCTATTCTCCTTATGAGCAGAGCTTTCCAGTACGGTAGAGACAAGCCACCATTAAGGTCTCGTACATCAGCCCTCAATTACGAAGGCTGAACTAAACTGAACTAAGCATCTGCCAACACGGCCTTGGACCTGGCCTGGATGCAGACCTCCTGGCGTCTTTCTGCAAACGGAGCCGAAGACCCCAGCGCACGCTCCCCACTACTCCAGCACCTCGCCTTCTCCCAGAGCACGTCTGAGCTCTGTCGCTTTTGCTAATGATGCTACCCTGGGCGCCTGCTCGCGGCAGGATTCCACCATGGCATTGTGCTGTCCCTTCCTGGGCACTTGCCCTGTGCTCCGAGGCACTGCAGGGATGTGACTCCTAGCTGGGTGTTGCTCCTCTTTACAACACATTCCTCTAATACTACTGAAAATGAAAGAGATCTCCCTATATTAGACACCACAAACGCTTCACAGGGCGCAACACAGAGGTGATTTACTCTCTGCAGTCAGCAGGGTCAGGCTTCAAAGCTGTTCCACAAAGGAGGATCACAGAGCCCAGAGCAATGAAGAGGCACCCATAGGGCTTCCTCTGCGTCATGGTGCAAAATTGCTTTCTGGGCGCATCCTACACATATACTTTTTGAAATTAAAATGCTGACCGTTCCAGCGACAACAAATTTACCTAACCAGCACTGGCATCCCAGCTGCTCCAGCTTCATCATGCGTCTGGGCATTTTTAAAAATTTCTCTTGGCCAAGGCTTTCTGGACAACTCTGGATTCAGCAGGTCAGCTTGCTACACCAGGAATCTTGCTGAAACCTCCAAACCCAGCATCTGGCTGGCTCCAATTAAGTTTTATTCGTACATGGGGACTGTTAGGAGACCAGGCTCTGTGACTCCCACTACCAGGCATGCTATATACACAGTTTTTTGGTACCCTGTCTCAGTATCTATTTTCTTGGACTCCTAACGAGCCAAAATAATAAAAATAATACTGGAACTTATCAATCCTTAACTGTATAATAACCCAAAAGCTCAATGACCTCCACAGACATCCCTAAACAGTTCTTTTCCCAGAGACAGGAGACCGTCACTATGTTCGACCACGTTCTTTCCAAGTTTACAATTGCTTTGGATTTCTCTTGCACTCCAAAGTCAGCTGCGACGCCCTGGCTGCGCTGCGCAGAGCAACACGGTATCTCCAACCGTGCACGCTGCTGCCCAGCAAAGCACCGGTCAGGGCTGCGCCTTCAAGTTTGCTCTAGGTTTGATCCAAAAGCAAACGTCTCTGTTCGTAAGCACCTTTTGAGGAAACATAAAATGCAAATAGAGGAAAAGGGCATTTGCCAGACCTACCTTGCTCACGTCCAACTTGCTGTTGGGAAACGTGTCCCATGCTT